ATTTTTTACTGAACAAATGTGAGCCTAATATGACAGTGTAAGAGCTTTGTGACTATTCAATCATGTCCAATTGCAGCATGCTTTTCACTTTTTTGGTTACCCAAAGAGGATGCAGCCACATTATGCCCCTGCATATATGTGTCTGTTGAGGTGTGCACAGAATGGCCCCTTGGGAAAGCATTACACATTGCTGCTTACATAACCTTAAGTTACCCATAACAAGTGGAGTGGATGGAGGGGGTGGATGGAGCGAGATATAAGGAAGAGGAAGAGGGAAAGATAAATAAAGACAAGAGACAGTGAGTGAGACTGCGGACAGATAAGTGAAAAAAGAAGTGAGAAATTCCTCTTTAGAGAGCACCAGGGATTTTTTTCTCTCCATGAGATGATGCAAGAGGAGATGAGTTGCACACTTTGTTTGATGTAGTTCCTCGTCTTCAACCTGAAATATGCGAGGAGGATGTATTTGCCAATGTGGTCAAAACAATAGTGGAAATGGCATCTAATCAGGAATCAAATATTTAGAAATACCAGAGCTGTGCAGGTTTCCTGATGTGGCACAGACTTAGTGTGTTTGCAGTGGCACAACATCAGAGTAATCTGCTTAAAATAGTTTGGATTTCCACAGAACACCAGCTGTACTTTTTGTCAAAATACTCAGGAAGTTAGCCTCTCTGCATAAGCTAGGTCTATTCCCTGAGATCTGATCTCAGGGAATAGACCTAGCTTATGAGCATGGCCTCTTGGATCACTGTCTGACTCTGAAATGGTCTACAACAACCCACAAAGCATTTCCGTAAAATGAGTCACACAAACACATCGTACGTGGAAACATAAGTGGGTGTTGAGAGTGGTTTTGACACGGTGACGGAGGAGAACAAACAGGATGTGAGTTAAGTTATCTGTGTGTGTCTGTGTGACAGACTGAATGGTATGTCTTCTCTGGTGCGGAAAACACATTGTGAAAAAAAACAAACTTATCTCTGTGTCGATAATTTTAATTCTCATAGTTCTAAATTGGTAAACAAGAAATATTTCCCTACATGGCTTTGCCCTGTGTGTTTGTGTTTGTGTATTGACCAACACTGTGTGTGTTGTATTGATCCACCATGGCCTCTGGGTTTCTCGGCATCACTTACAGAAGCTCAAAGGAGCCAATAACATGCTTGTCCCCTCAGATGAGATCCAATAATGGTTTTAAAAAGAACACACGTGTTTTATGTGTTCAGAAAAAACAACCACCAATCAGAAACGCAATCTTCATCAGCGCTATGCCGATCCTCAGATGATCAATACACTCTGTTACAGTGGCTGTTCCTGCTAATTGTGAGGGATTTAGTGCTAATGTTCGGAGTAATCAGCTGTTTACTTTCCAATACTGTATTGAAACAGCTAATTTGGAGTGTTATATTACTGATAGTGTCATTAATCCAGCTTCTACGTCGACAGAACACGCATTCAGCAACACAGAGGAATGATGCATGTGCGCCCAGAGTGCCCTGTGTCCTGGGTGTCTTTATGCATGTGTGGATCTGTGGGTGTCACTGATACGCAGTGGCAGTAAAAATGACCCTTTGTGAGAGTGACAGCTTTAAACCCTGAAAGCCATGAGTGTATGTATGGTGTGTGTGAGCATGCAGGAACCATTTCTGTTGGGAGGAGAGAGAAAAAAACAGCCTTTCAGCTCTTATCAGGGAGCTACCAGAACGGGACCGATCACCTCCCACTGCTGAGCTATCAATGTGGAGTTAATTGCCTTTTTTGAGGGGGGAAGTTGTGCGTGCGTTTCCCTCTCTGCTTGTTTGTTGGCTTTCTCTTTTTCGATTAACCTACGTTACAGTACAATATGGTGCAGGGTCTGTGCCTGGAATTGTCCCCGTCAGCTTGCAATCCATCATTCAGATTATTTACTTAAACGTTAGGAACAAACGGACTTGACAGAAACGGATACAAACCACATTACACAGAGACAGCAGCACAGAGATGAAGAGGGAAGATAGAGGGAAGGAGAGATAAGTGGAGAGAGAGGGAGGGAAGAGAGGTGGGCCGGGCTTGGCATGCGGACAGCGTGTTCTGTGAGAGCTATAGAGGACAAGGTCGTTCAAGGTCTCCTGTCATGCTTGACGGGTTACAGTGGGGGTTTCTGATGCAGTGACAAGCAGTGGGGGGTGGGTTTGTGGGGGTCCTTCTGGTCTGCATGTGTATCATGTCGTTGTGCCTGCATGCATGCGATGCCCCTTGCCAGTGACACATCATAATGCAGTGTGTGTGTGTGTGTGTGTGTGTGTGTGTGTGTGTGCACGTGCATACCCTTGCTTACATGTCCAGCGCTAATGGCCTTGTGTTGTAGCTTACTATGTTCATTTCCTCTAAATTCCAAGTCTCTCATGTCTAATTGCATTTGTCACAGTTTGTAGCCTCGAATACCCCGGCACTAACCATTACTCCAGTCTCTAGTGTGCACGTTTGTTGAGAGAGGAATGGTGTGCCAACTGCTTTGTAGAGTGGTGTTCACATTCTCCAATAGGGCTGGGTATTGATCTTTAATATCTGGCCCAGTAACAAGTATTGAAACTTCTCCAGTCAAAATGATACCTGCATTCAATCTTTTTTGAACCCAGAAGTAGAAAAAAATGACTGCCGGCATGGTTTTGCTCGCAGGCAGTCACAGCAAGCATTCCTCAATTTGATGCAACATGTGATTGGCCCACAGGCAATACAGTCTGTGGTTTGTTGAAAATGTGCAATGTATGTCCAGAGTTGGTACTAAAGTATGGTTCAAGTATACCTTTGTTGTGTCTGGTGGCAATTTACGCAACTGAATGCTTCCAGTTACGTGATCGTACTGGCACTGTATTGATCTGTACCCACTTTAAGGGTGCTGGTATTGCAATTTTATAAACAATATCCAGGCTTAGAACGATTGTTTTTTTTTAAAGGGAACCAAAAATGTTTCAAGGATGATAATTCATAGCAGAGATGAGAGTTTCTCATAGTTTGCTTTGCTCTGCAGGCTGAAGCTGCTCAGAGTGTGTGTATATGCGCAGTGCATGTGTCCTGATTTGTCCGGGTAAATATAATGTATCTCCATATGTTTGGCCGGCATGAGGAGGAGATGCCAACATGTCAAAATATGTTGGTGCCTGCAGGACTGGATCAAACTCCACAAGCCTCTTAGCTGTTTTCCATCATATGGTGCCTCAGAGGGGCATCAGTGTGTGTGTGTGTGTGTGTGTGTGTGTGTGTGTGTGTGTACATGTGCGTGCTCCACTTGTGCGTGTTACAGTGAGAGTGAAAAGGGTCTAGTTTGTGTTCTTATTTTCCTTTTTATTATTTTCATCCTTTGCAGATTTGCCTCAGACGCGCTGTAACATTTGTGTGTTGCAGAGGTAAAATGAGAACATTGATTTTAGTTACCGCTTAGCCGCTAGTCTCTAGTCCTGCAAGCCAGGCAGTTTGTATAAAACAAAATGAATGTGATGGGACCTGTAACACAATTACTAATGACAAATCACACTCCCTGAATTTCGAGCTCAGCAGAATTACGCACGTGCACACCAACGCATGCACAGACACTTCCACACGAGGATGTGGATCACATTGGGATTGCTTTAAGATAAATGCTCATTGGATTAATGGCGAGAGATTGTGCAGTTGGATACAGATTCACTGAGGGAGAGATCCGTCAGTTTGGCAGCATCATGCTGGCGTGCTGCTCCAAATAAAGAAACAGGAGTAGCAGTCAGTTATACTGGAAGTTATTCCAGGAGTTTTGGATAAGCAGCCTTCTCCCTTGTTGACATCAGAAACAGGTGTGAGTCACTTTTGTAGTTAATCAGGAACACGCTATGTATTCTCACGCAAACGCACACGTGTGGCTGGAATGTAGGTGTGTGTATGAGGTGAGTTAGTGGGTTCAAGTAACCATTAGACCACATTCCCTGCTTTTGTTCCACTCTAGTGCCCCATTTGACAGGTTGACCGCTGTTGCTGTGTTATTTAGGTCAGCCCACACTGAGCGGAACAGGCACTAAGCTTCTGGTGAAGTTACCAACAGCAGCTATTACGCAAATCCAACAATTTTTATAAAGAGATTTCCAATGTGTTATATGGATGCAGTGAGGTCTGGTGCTTAATTGAGGGCTGATGCTTGAGATGTACAACATGGCCGTTCTTGTGAAGGGCTTTGTGGTTATTGTGGTGTTCTGCAGGCAAACTAAAATAAAAGCAGAACCTCGGCGCTTCCTCTTTACGTGAAGTCTGTGCTGTCTGCAATGCTCCCACACTGTTTGTGCCTTTTTTATTTGACAAACAAATGCATCAAAAAATTACAATCCGTTACTAATAATGCAGTAGATAATGACTGAAAATGGTACAGCATAATAAGGCATAACAATAACATTGCAATTATTAACGCACAGAAAGCACGAACCACCAATCATTTCTAATTTATTATCTCAGTTTCTTTCTCCTTTTTTAAATAAGTTGTATTTCTCTCCCTCCTCCTCCTCCTCCTCCCCCATTGTCATGGATTAACTCTCTAATAGTTGGCTTCTCTGGAATGAAGCCCCTTGATGTGTGGTTGGGAAATCCCACTCATTAAGTCACCAAGGCAGATAATCAGTTTGGGCCAGATCAGGTGGAAGAGTGCTTACACCAGAGCGGGCATTAACCTTCCTGCATTGCAAGTTTATCTTTCTGGTACATGGGCACTGTTATATATTGTTTTATAATGTTTCAGCTGGAATGAAGGGAGCAAGATGCTGGTCATGAGTTAAATATTTTGTGAAGATAAGGACCTCTTCTAAATAGTTTTTTCTATTTTTTGCACTAGCTTGGATTGTTTTGCCTGAGGAGGTACTGTTTTGAGCTGTTGACCATCCCTGCTCTGGTACATTCTTACTAATATCCCAATCTGCTGGGTAGAAACACTTGTGCTCTCACAGCGTGCCCAAGAATAAAATGACCTAACGTTCTGTCTTTCTCCCCTCTGTCCACAGTGAATGAGTATGTGTTCATGGTCCAAGCCAGAGGGATCCAGATCAGAGAGAACGTGAAGAACATCGGGGCTCAGGTTCTGGAGCAGGTGGTGAGAGGAGCATACAGCATCAATGGCACAGGTAAAAACATACACAGTGATACACCAAGATGTTCCGGGAATGCTTAGCTGTATGTCAGTCAGGAGCACTTTAGTCAAAGAAAACTTTATTTCCATTTGCAGTATTATATTTGGTGGTATGGCTCTGTTCTGGGGCCTCTCTGCCTTTCCTAGGCCTACACAGAAAGCCTCTTCCACGTGCCTTTGCAGAAAGCCTAAGGTGGAGAGAGCACACCTATCTGCCCTTCCACACGCCTGCGTGGAGAGTCTTAAGACAGAGAGAGAGCACACCTCTCTGCCCTCTCACATGCAAACAAGGAAAACATTTGGGAGAGACAGCAAACCTCCTTGCCCTTCCATGCGCCTACATGGGCAGGGAGAGCAGCAGCAAAGACCCTCCGGTAACAGAACAGAGCAGCATCAATGACAAACAGAAATGACACTGATAAGTCAGACACAACATGAAAAGGAGGAGCTGGGGTGGAGGCGTGTTGCAAAGCAGCTTGCAGAGGAAGCAGCAACATTGTGTCCTGCCTGAACTAACACTACGCTCAATTTTTAACTGGACACAAATGCAGTCCCCACCCTGGGTAAACAAAGTAAAGAAAATGAGCTGTTGTAGTCTTACTGTAAGTGATGCATACATGTTTATAGAGCTCATGGCTTAGGCCGAGGTGAAAGAAGGAAGAAAGATAAGGAAAAACATAGTTGCAAAACATAAACGACACAGCTATGGGGTGCACCATGAAGCAACAGTAGTGGGTTAGTGAGCCAGATTTTTCTGTCCTACAAAGGTGTCTCCCCTTTAACCTGGCTAGATCATCATGGTAATGTACGTCACAGACCTAACCTTGCTCTGCATTCGGCTTGAAATCAGCTAAAATCTGCCTTTCACAGCTACTTTGAGCGGCGTCACTTTATAGTAAATGTCAGTCTGTGAGTGATACAGGTTCCCAGCTGAGGGAGTACGTTATAAATGCACTTCATTCAGCTTTTTGAGCTGTAACCTTACATTAATGCCACTGAACGAAGCTGTGCAGTTACAGTAGCGCTTACTGTGTGTGTCACATTGCGTTTTATTTTATTAACTAGGTTGTTGTTGCTCTCACTAAACCACTGAATATTTTTGTATTGTTCTCTGGTACATTTGCCCTCGCTGGCTCTAAAAGAAGCCTCCTATAAGATCGCAGGTAGCATTATACATTAACAGCTTACCATATTACTAAAAACCAAACCATACCATAATGTTACCACTTTGTTTTCGTGCCTGCTTTACACTGCTGGTATATTAACGCTACAGCTTATACAACACCGATTAGAAAATCTTTTGGTATTCATCACAGATATCATTAAATCATATTTATTTCACTTCAAATTCAGCCAAGAAGAAAACTGATTTCCATCTCTTCTTCATTGTGGGATAGTGTCAGTACACATAAATGCAGTTTTTGAGTATTAAGTTTGAATCTGCTGCATGATGTTTTAAGTTTAAGAGCTGTGGAATACGCAGCTGTCAGGTTAGAAATAAATGTATTGGTAGCCTAAATTAAGTTTATTAACTTCTGAATTCACAAGATAAGTAGGTTTCTGCCAGCATTCCTCTCGCGCCTTTGTTTATTTATTTATTTATTTATTTTGGCAGAAGAAGGGAATGAATTCATCAATTTAACTCATTTTATGGGAGCACACACAGAGCCTGAGGGAGAAAACCTGGGTTAACAGAGAAAGTTAATAACAACCTTCCTGGTGCTCATTATCTCTGACTGAGGCCTCAGGGCCTTTTTTTTAACCTGCTAAGGCAAAGAAAGCCTGGCTTTGTCAAACTTGTTTCAGGGCACAGCCTTCTAGACTTGGATTAAGTTTCTTCTGATTGTGATTCTAGATTATGCCTATGACTTCAACGTGAGCGAGAGTGATGCTCCTTCCACCACATACCTCCCTGAGGGCTTCACCTACCTCCCCTCTCAGATTTGCCCTGAGAGGCTGCCCTCCATGAGTGAGTACACTGTTTATGTTCAGATGTCAGTAGCCTTAGATGACCTTAAGGTGAAACAGCTGTTCTTAAGGTTGTCTGAGCCTTTCAAAAGATGTCACCTTAAATGAACTTTCATTGTGCTTCTGTGCACATTTAATTCAATAGACAGGATATTAAGATGGATGACATGAAAGCCAAAACATCTGGGGCCGTATTCACAAAGATTCCTGGCACAAAGAGTTGCTCCTAGTCATGAAATTCTAAGAAAATTCTTATTATTGTGGCGTTTTCTTAAAATTTCCCTTAAAGTTAAGATTAGGTCCATGTAAAGATAAAAGTTGACCTTATATATATAATATTCTCCAACCCCTGGATGACAGTGAGTGTATAAATGCCACAGATTACATTGTGCAGGGATGATATTTGTGGTCGATCTCATTAGAGGTACGCACATATTTCCCACCTGACGCTATAACACTGTAACGCCAGAAATAAAATGATCTCAACACTAAGATATTTTGAAAACTGTAAAAATGCAACAGTGCAGCAGTGATAACTTGAGTCTGTCTCAACTTTCCATCAGCAAAGTGCTCACACTAGCAATGACAACACTTTCACAATCAGCAGTTCATTTCATTGGCAGGCTCACAATAGGATGTGTCTGTGACAACCAATCACATTTTTTAAAACAATGCATCATACCTAGCAACGGGGTCAACCACACACCATCACTGGAATAAAAGTTTCTGTCCCTTCCTTGCTCAGATTTGCTCTGAGGACTGTTTACTAAAAAAATTTAGGCTAAGTTAGGAGCTCACTGGAAGTGTTCTCAGAACGTTTGTGAATACGGCCCCTGGATATCCCCCTGGTGGCTGGTTTCAGTATAGGTCATAAGCCCCTCCCCCTTCATGTTCGCAGATGAGACATTGGCCAAACTAAAAACTCAAAAGTACAAGTCAATAAAATTTTCCCCGAATGGTGTTTTTTGTGAATATATGTAGCTCCTATCACGCTGATGTTTGTTCAAGTGTTAATGTTTGGTTTCAATTAGTTATCTGACGCTATTAAAAAGTGGTTTGATGGCATGATTGACAGCTGTCGATACTGTGGCTCCACTCCTCGATCACTACTGTGCAGACTCTGGCTCCAGATGTCACCAGAGCAAGATGGCAAAGCCCATATCCGAGATATTTTGGCTTCGTTTTTGCACAGTGGGAGGAAGTGGAGACTTGTCGTCCATATTTATATACAGTCTATTATTTGATCTAGTAATGAGTACTGAAATAGTCGAGACCACGTGTTTTCTGTCAGCTTTGATTGACGATGCATGCAAATATGTTGTAATGGCACAGAGTAGCTAAACCCAGCAGTCTATGCCCCCAGATTAGTCAGCTGTTACAGGCTTTGATGAGTGTTGTTCTTTTTCCCCTCCTCCCTCCCTCTCTATACTTTTTCCCATTGTCCTCTATTTACTATTTCATCTTATTCACATGCACGACTCTCTCTGTCTTTTTTCCTCATGGCTTTTTCTGGCTTCCTGCAATCTGTCCCTCTACCCCTCCCCCACACACAGAGGGCAGGTTACAGGTGAATATGAGTGAGGTGTCTTTGGAGGAGGTGGAGAGATCCTTGCTGGAGGAAGAGCCTAACGTGGTCCCAGGAGGCTACTGGAAGCCCAAAGACTGTTTACCTCGCTGGAAGGTAAGTGCGGATGTGTGTGTGTGTGTGTGTGTGTGTGTGTGTTAGAAGGACTGTTGACTGAAAAGCACTGTTGAACACAGTTAAGCGGAGAAACACAATGCAGAAGCTCCCATACGGTGCACAAGGGGCTCACTGAATGGATTTAGTATGAAAATGATCTCCATCTCGACCCAACTGAACACCTACGGGAGATTTATGAGCAGTGTGTCAGATGCCAGTGCACATACAGTAACTGGCATGTCTGACACATGTCCCAGTATGTGCCACAAACATGTGTTTACATTAGTTGCCTCTTTGTTCTGTTGCTCACTGTGTGAAATCAGGATGATCCGGTTGTTCTGTCTGACATTCAGACGCATAAAGAAGCAGGCAAAACATGAATTCAGCCCATTCAATGTGCTTTCCAGTTTCAGTTTGAACCAGCCTCCTCTACTATGTGCTCATTTTTATCACTCTTTTTTTGGTCCAACAGAGCAATCTTGCCTGCCATCTGTGTGTCTGTCTCACATTCATTCGCCCTGAGGGACTGTGAATGCTCTGACAACCAAATCTCTCCCTCTTTCTCTCTCCCTCCCTCCCTCTCATTAGCCAGCAATCTCTCTCTCATCTACCTCTATAGTTTCTCTCGTAGCCATTGTTGTTTTCCATTTCGTCGCTTCCCGTGACAGTTTGCTTTTTAGCGAGCTTCAAAAGAAACTTAAAAAACGGGGATTGTCATAGCTACGGCTCTATGGGGAAAAATAAACACCTTTTACAGACATTTAGCACCTCAGTGCGTCTATGATTGATGCGTGCCAGATCTCATTTTGGAAATGAGATTTTAAGAACCTGACACGCTTTTGTTGTGAGTCATGATGGTAATTGGTGTTTTTTGGTACTGTCTTCACCCACACTTTCACATTTACCTACCGCTGAGAAATCACAACTCTCGGAAACATTCACTTGTGCAAACAGTGCAGTGTACTTTGTTGTGCAGAATGTGTCCCCATACATTTGCAAAAATCTCCATGTGTTTGCAAGTGCAAGTGTCATTTCATGCGAGACGGCTGTGGCCCAGGAGGTAGAGCGCGTCATCTCGTCTACCAACCGGAAGGTGTCAAACCTCAAATTGTGTTGTGTGAATGTTAACTGCCATCAGTGTATGAATAGGTTGGCTTTGAGTGATCAGAAGACTAGAGAGGCACTATGTAACTGCAAGTCCATTTACTATATCTCTTTTATTCTAATCCATTTTGTGTCCCTTAGGTGGCAATCCTAGTCCCGTTCAGAAACCGACATGAACACTTACCCATTCTCCTGAGACACCTGGTGCCAGTGCTGAAAAAACAGAGACTCCAGTTTGCCTTTTATGTCATAGAGCAGGTATGCACACACCTATTCACACAGTCATTGACATATTCCTCTGTGTAACATCAAAACAATTTGCAGACAGTGAGCTAACTTCACAGGTGGTGGCAATGTCTCTGTTTTACAGCAGAAAGTGGATTGACAATTATTTTAATTGCAGATTAACATGTTGTCTATGTTCTCAATTAATCAATTAGTTTGGTCAATAAAATGTCTCCTCTATTATGTTGATTTTTCAACAATGCAAAGATTTTTATTTTATATTGAAAGAGGAGTAAAGAAACCAGAAAATATCCACATGTTAGAAGCTGGAATCAGAGAATTTTTTACTTTTTTTCTCAAACCAATTATCAAATTAGTTGGCATAATAGTCGATAACTAATCAATTAATTGAGTTGCAGCTCTAGTGAACATGACAAGCTTTTGCATAAACAACCTCTTTGTTTTCCACAGGGAGGCACGGAGCCATTTAACCGAGCCATGTTGTTCAACGTGGGCTACAAGGAGGCCATGAAGGACCTGGACTGGGACTGCTTGGTCTTCCACGACGTGGACCACCTCATGGAGAACGACAGGAACTATTATGGCTGCACAGACATGCCCCGACACTTTGCAGTCAAACTCGACAAGTACTCCTACATGTGAGTCCCGGTTCTGTCTCCGCGGGCGTATACTGTAAATGTATCCCTTACTTAATGTGAAGTTTAATATGTGTAATTGTCCCTCCAAGGCTTCCGTATAATGAGTTCTTTGGTGGTGTCAGTGGCCTGACGGTGAAGCAGTTCAAAAAGATTAATGGATTTCCTAATGCATTCTGGGGCTGGGGAGGAGAGGACGATGACCTCTGGAACAGGTGAGGAGAACACACACACACACACACACACACACACACACGCAGACACACACTGCTGCAGCATGAGGCAGTCAGTATCATTGACATTAGGCGTGCTAGAGAGATGGGTTCGGACAGTTGGCACATAACAAGCTTTTGTATTAGTTTTGTGTTATTTTCCTCCTTCCTTTGCCACACTGCGTCGCCGCCCCTCCCCCTCCCACGCAGCTCACAGGCAGCTGTACACACTCAGGGCTCAGTGTACACTGCATACTCTGACTTATTGTTTCTGTGTGTAATGATCCCTTTTGTGTGCTGTTACTATAAAACCTTTCCCTTTTGTATTTTTACATTACACCACTGTGTACACTGTGGACTAATAAGCATTGTTGTATTTGTGTAGGGTGCGGTTTGCCAATTACAGCGTAAGCAGACCACATGGAGAGCAGGGACGCTACATGTCAATTCCACATCACCATCGCGGGGAGGTCCAGTTCCTGGGAAGGTTGGTGTCTGTGCACACACACACACACTACACACACACACACACACACGTTGGTTAAAAGCAGGAGCTGATGATTTCAACGAATCTCAGGCTCATGTGGTGTAAGCCAGTCACATGAAAAGCCAGAGCAGTGACTTTGAGAGAATTTCAACTCTTTTAAAGACTTTGCATGTGATTGGCTTGTGCGCTTCAGGGCTGAATTCCAATCGTGCTCCCTCCGCTCACATTCTGAGTGACTTAAATCAGTCCAGGGTTTAAAAGTTTCTTTCATTTGTTAATAAAAAACTTCAAGGAGCAGATGCTACAAATACTTCTTCTCCAAAAAAAAACTTGCCTTTGTGATTCTTTTGTGAAAGTGTCAGGAGTAATCTAGTGCAGCGATCTGCTGAAAATTCATCTTGTGCTGTGCAGCCAACAGCTACAATAACACTGACAACAGCAGCACCTCATTTACCACATATAATTAAAGTGCTCTCCATATCACAAGGTGCAGCATTCTCGCACACAGATGTTCAGTTATTTTTGTTCACACTTTCTTTAACTGGTAGGAACAAACGATCTGCGAGCACAGCTGGTTTGGAGCAATAGCACCCTGCACTTTCTGTCTGATGATAAGAGCTCATATACATAAAATAGAGGATGTGGGCTAAATCTCGAATTAGCACTTGCCCCTCCCTCAACACTCAGGACTCATCGTCAAGCAGTCTTGCTGCTGTTGAGCAATCTTACAATCACTGACAATGAAGCATATTAGGCAATAGTGCAGGAAGTTAAAACCATGGAAATAAATGTCACTTTCTGTCTACAGCACAGACAGTGACACTCTGTTTTACGTGCCTGTATGATAATGAAACCTGTTCCTCTACATATTGCCTCATTATTTGTTAATGTTCAGGTGCCAGTTACTGTTAGTTGTCTAACTTGCTTGGTGTTGCACTGGGTGCAGAGCTGTTACACACTGTTTTTATCCCTCCTTCACTGATTTATTGATTGCTTGTTCTGGCAGGTATAGTCTACTACGTCACTCAAAGGAGAGACAGAAAGTGGATGGCCTCAACAACCTAAACTACTCCCCCCTAGTGTCCAGGAGGCCTCTCTACACCAACATCACAGTCAGCTTGAGCAGAAAGCTTGCACCCATAGCTGACTACTGACGTAGGAACAGCTGGACTGCAAAAACACCTGGGAATCAAAGTCCTCTGGGACATCAGCCATATCTCACCAGTTGCAGCACTGCTTAGGACTTTTTAGTTGATTGATTCTTTGCTTTTTTTCTTTTGTTTGTATGCAAAAAAAATATATATACAGGAGACTCAAATAAGTATGTTGGATAAATCTTAAAAAAGAAATTAAGGATAAATGCTGCACTTGCTTGTGCCACAGTCCATCACTCCTCTCATCTGGGCTTATCTAGTCTTCAGTCTCCACATGCCTTTTGCACCATTTTGGCCTTCAGCATCCATTCATTCATCCATTTTCTTATTCAGTCAAAGATTAACTCAGCCCTACACAATTGTACTTGTTAATGAAAATAGGTTATGATACACGAACACACACACACACACACACATGCACACAACAGTTTGACTAACACGTGCTGACCTGGTCCCTGAGGCTTTGATTTACTTTTTTTTTTTTTTTACTTTGCTCTTGCACTTCTTCTTTTCATAAATGCAGTAAGCCTGTGAAAACATTTGCATGCACACACACACACGACCACACAACAACTTTTAACCGCATGGACTCTTGCAGCTGGTTCTGCAGAAGGGTTGCCAAATCTACAAGTGAAGAGAGCGAGAGAAAATGCTATGACGAGTGAGTGTTTTCAGTCATGTATACTGTATGTGAAATAGTCTATCCTAACCTTAGAGAATATTAATACCTTAATCATCTCTCACCGACTATATTTTGTCCTGTGAACATACCATTTTAAAGACTGTGATGTTTGTGTTTGCGTAGTTGCATTGGATGTTCTGGCTGCCTGCATGTGGCTGTATGTTGGAGAGCAATGCTCCTCCTATTAGCAATAAGCTGTAATATCAGACAGCAGAACTTAGACCTGACTTCCTCACTATACAGATGCAATAGCATGGGTGCTAGCATACCCTGATTGGACGACAGAAAAGGAGTGACTGCGTATGTAAACTTCACATTCAACATACCTTTGCCTAAGCAAACATGCCACCCCTTTTCAAACCTGCGTGTGTCTGCGTGCGTGTCTGTGTGTGTATATAAGTGAGGGAGAGCTATGCAAATGGCCTGTATATATCCTGTTGTCAGTGTAAGGTCTTCAGGGTGACCTCCAGGAGACTTCACCCCTGAATCTGTGACCGACTGACCTCACTTTGTGGTGTGCAAGTCCAGGCCAGGGAGAGATAAACAGTTTTATTTTTTAGATCCCACATCCTTAATGTTTACTCACCTTCTTCTTCTTCTTCTTTTTTTTTTTTTCCGGGAGAATTGGAGGTAGAGAATACTTGATTGCTGTCACCGTCACTTGTGTTTACAGAAGCTTTTGCTTTGTTATTTTTCAGATTGACTAGTGTTTGTAATACTGTTAGCCAGCCCTCCTCCACTGTGGGTGCTGTGAGAACTGTATCTTTACAACAACCAATCTAATGGCTGCCTTTATTTTTTTAACTGACACTTCTTTACCTAGACGAGGATAGGACAAAATGCTTATCTTAGACATCAGGTGTTAAACCACTGATTAGCTTTGTTGGCTTGTTGCCAGGCTTTGGTCAGTGAGGTTGTTTGTGTAAATCAGACTTCAGGATGTTGGTCTAAGTCGAGTGTCCGGTTCGGTGGCATGCAGCCTAACACCGTGCATTGACACAGACTGACAGCACTCTGGCAGTACACAGCAGTTGCTATAATGTTCCCTTCTCTGGTTTGTGTGTTTGACAGTGTTGATTTTGAGTAAAATATCCCAATACTGTAAACGTAGTTCCTTTTTAAAGAAACAAAAACATACAGACACTCTCTCCTCACTGTCTGTCCTCTAGTCATGCAGCTACTTCATTTCACACAAATCGCCTTGTATGCATTTCTTAAGATGTATCTTTTCGGGGGGAAACGTGGGTGGTTGACAAACTGTTGTGTTCCCACAATGAAATAACAAGTAAAGAGGCTGGACCTCGTTTTATTTATTTGACCTTTTATGAATTATTTTCTGTAATTGTTCAGTTTTAATTTTTTTTTTTTTTCTTGCGGTTGATGTGATGATGTAGTAGGTGACATATGACAGACTGTGTTAGATGCACTGAAACTTGTAGTAATGTGTATTTATGTGGGATTGTGAGGTTCAGGTCTGTGTAAATGGGTAGGCGTTCCATTTCATTTCTATGAAACCGAACGCGACCTGTAGCCTGGTGTGTATTAATCTGCTGAACAGACACGTTGGAGGCGGCCATTTTGTGTGACAACCACAGGAAGAGCAAGACACCTAATCAGAAGAATGCTAGTGGCCATTTTCTTCCACCGGGCACCTCCTTTTATACTAATTGATAATCAATGGTGCTGACCTTCCAGAGCTCCCTGTGAGGGAGTCTCTCTCTACGTGCTTACTGGAAGCCAATCTCAACATCGTAAAGGCAAGTATCGACAGGCAAAACATCCCTCCAACCTGCACATAAGTGGCATAGATATCCAGTGATTTTTTTCATCCATACATTTAAAAAAAAAAAAAAAAAAAAACCTGCTACCTTTTCATCCTGCCAGGTGAAGCTAATTTGTGTTTTTGTTGCTCTGGTTCATCACCACAAACAGAAGCACGTGTTTACCTCCTAGCCAATCACCCAGGAGGTGCCCGGTGGAAGTCGTGGTCACTGGCGGCATTTGTGTTAAGTTTTCTTTTCCATGTGTGTTTGAGTGAAATGGCTAAACCTTACAGAGGTCTAACTGTCCTCCTTCTAGACTTTGAGGTGTTTTTTTTAATTTTGTTTTATTTTGTTTTCCAGCACTGATATGAAATGATTTATAGTGACCTGGTTGTGGAAAACACAACAGGTGTTTTTTCTAGTTCTTGACACTTACATGACACACTGTATATTATCTTTTATTTTTTTTCATTGCTTTAAATTAAAAGCTAGATGGACATATAGCAAAAGCCAAATGGTTTTAGTTTTTGAGTGTTCGGGTGAAGATTCAGACCCGGAGTGACCTCTCAATATAGAGAGGCCCTCTGGATGACGTATATACTCTTAGAGTCAGTATTAGGCTCTATACTCCACAATATAGAACGAGCAGCTTCATCAGCCATAATCAACAAGATGGGTTTTCTGACTACTAGACAGGTTTGTCCACTCTGACGAAGTAACAGGCAAATCAGTCAGCGCTCTCTTGCTTGTTTAAACCAGGAAATGGTTTTTCGGTTTGTGATGAGAGCCTGCTGGCTCGTCTTGTCCCGGTTATATGTGTATATATACTGTTCACGGTCTCGATCTAGACCAAGACCAAGCCTGCTGCTCTCTAACGAGGCTTCATTGTACCATAATCTCACCTGCTCTGATCCATTCTGTACCAGTTTAAATGAAGGGACCATTTTTTGGGCATCTGACAAGACTGGCAGCCTTAAAGCTTCTTAATTTATTGCAGTGGGTTTTATTTGTTTTTTTGTTTTTTTTCACATGTTTTTTCTTTTTTATAAGCAAAAATATTTAAATATGAAAAAAGTGCATATCAAGAAAAACGATCATTGTAAATATTGTGTGTAGTGTTTTAGAAATTCTATAAGGTCTTAAATCACTACAGATGCTAGCATAAAGAACAAGGCTTTTGGAGGGATTTGGCTGGGGGTTTATCCGGTGCCATTTAAATGCTAGTGAAGCTTACACAGCGACATCAGTGTTGTTACATCACCGCTTCCCAGCACAGCCTTTTTGTTGAAATTAAAAATATATTCCATGAATCTTAGATTCCTCTCACAATCTCCGAGGTGTTCTGCATTCCAGAGGCCTCCCTATACTTAATATGCTGGAGCAGTAGAAGAGACATATCATGGCAGACATTGGCATCAATCTTCAGACGAAGTTCTGTGTCCTTGTTTCTGCGTGTGATGTCACTTTGATAGTGACAGCAGTTGGGGTAAGGTGTAGGTCAAAGGAAAGCACTGCGGGATAGCAATGTGTCAGCCAAAAACACCATATGCTTACAATGCAATGAAACACAGGCACCCAAACCAGCGACACAATCCACTCTAAAATCTACAGAGATTCATTTTTTTGTATGAAAGCTAACTATTAAAAAAAAAACAGATACAGATGACTAAATTTAAAATATTTCTTCTCTGATTGTAAGGAGAGCAGCTCTCCTTGAATTGAAGCCATTTGAAGCCACTTGTCAAAACTTGATGTCAGCCTTATGTGGATCTGTTTGTGTATCGGCATATTATCTTTTGATTATTGAAATTTGTATGATGGAGATTTTCTTTTATACCATCATTGTTATTGTCAGAGTACACCAATAAAACGAAACTTGTAAAGATACAGTACCCAGTCACTGTCTGTGTTTTTGTTCTGTGTTGACATCCGTTTGCTTTCAGTGTGCTTGCCTGGAACCGCTGCCTCTGGCCCAGGCATTTCCTCAAAGCTTGGTCAGTGGCTGCATTTCAAATATTCAGAATAATAATGTGGTTATAGTGCACACTACAACTGCTGCACGGAAAGCAAGCTTGCACACACAGGCATGCTTCCTGTTAAGGGACATTTACTTTACACTTCATTACTTAAACAAAAGGCAGAGCACAAACTGGCCACAGTTACAGCATGAGCTGCCAGAGAAAGGACTCTGCTGAGAGTATTATACTGTCCCTACCAACATCCAGTGACTACTGAATTGTCTCTAGCAATAATTTTGATCAAAATGTATACAGTAAGGGACAGTGCATTTTATCTTTCAATACCTTGGAGTTGAAATTAATGACCACCTCAGTTTCAAGAAAAAGAAAAGTCCAACGTATCCTCAAGATGTTCTGCAAATCTGTCTTGAAGGGCATTCTGTCCTTTGGCTTGATCTGCACCTTTGGGAATATGTTCAAGGTTACGCCAAACTCTAGGAGATGATCAAGGCAGTGAGTAGGATCATCAGCAGAAGAGCTGTACAATGACCTTATTCTTAAAAAGGCTAATCAGATTCTCAATGATCCCACCCGAGGGAGTAGCAGGTCAAACGGCAGAGTCCTGCAGCAGAAATTAGAACAACAAGGTCAAATCATCATCATCATACAACATGAGCTTAATCCTGTGGGAAAGCCTTCCATCCGCTTAAAGGGAAATTTAGGTTTATTTCAACCTGTCTCCTATCATCCTAAATTTGTTTCAAGTGACTAGTGACATAGAAATAATAGTTAGCATGTTAGCTGTTAGCCTAGATACAGCCGGGGCGCATGGTAGCGTCAGACCTGTTAAAACGTAAGTGAATAGGCACCCTTCAAGTGCAAAGTTAGTCCACTAAACAAGCTTTTTCTCCGCAAAGACCGCCTCATATCGTTAGGATAAATGTCAGAGAACATATAGAAAACGACATGTAAAAGTGTTGTCTTACCTTACCGGTGTGCTGCCATGTTTGTTTAAAATATAGCTCTGCTTTCCAAAGCGCGGCCGGAATATCGCGAGAACAAGCAGCAACAGCTGGAAGGCAGAACTGGACAGTAGCCTGAAAAGTTCATTCATTTATTTTATGAAAGATTTATAGAATAATGGCTGACTTTTTGCCAGACTTCAACTTTGTGGTGGAGGAATTTGATTTTGCAGAGTTTGAGCCAGAATACACTGACAAAGAGCTTTGTGAAATTGAAGAACGGAGGAGGAGAGAGAGAGAGGCGCAACAGGTTGAGGACGAGAGAGGAGGAATGGCTGCTGCAAGGCTGCGTAGCTCTGGAGATTGGTGGTGTACCTGTGAATGCTGTGCCTCAGTGCCCACAGAAGAGGAATGCCTCTGTTGCAAGGAATGGGACCGGTTGCAGCCTTGTTTTCAAGGTCTGGATGTGACTGAGGACGAGACACCTCCACCTGGAATAACGTTAGTATCCAGCTGGGCTTTATCTAGAGCTGGCGAGATTTCAGGCACGGTATGAGATCGCTGCTTGTTCTCGCGATATTTCGGCCGCGCTTTGGAAAGCAGAGCTAAATGGTAAACAAACATGACAGCACAACACTTTTACATGTCGTTTTCTATATGTTCTCTGACATTTATCCTAACGATATGAGGCGGTCTTTGCGGAAAAAAAGCTTGTTTAGTGGACTAACTTTGCACTTGAAGGTTGCCTGTTCACTTATGTTTTAACAGGTCTGACGTTACTATGCGCCTCGGCTGTATCTAGGCTAACGGCTAACATGCTAACTATTATTTTTATGTCACTAGTCACTTGAAACAAATTTAGGACGATAGGAGACAGGTTGAAATAAACCGAAATTTCCCTTTAACCGCATCTCCCGTCTCAGATCCCTCTGGTATACCATACACACGCATGTTGTTTCATCTCATGAAGTTTTCCAGGTTCTAACACCTTTCTTCCATCTGACGGTCTCACTGCATGAGATATCGGAGGAGCCGGTCTGCGCGGTCACCTCTGTCCTCCACCACGCCGACACGGTTCTAGGCCTCTGTCATTCTGTCTCCCAGGCCTCGAACCGTCTGCTCTAAAGAGGATATTGTAGATTGTGTCTTCTCAAAGCCATCTTTCACCTCATTCCTGAAGTGTCGAATTTCTGCCCATACTGTATCTGCAAACTCTTGATCTGGCTGCACTGTTGGGCTAGCAAGTTTTTTCTTTTACAGAGACATTCCCAGCTTAAATGATGAAGAAAAGGCATAAAATAGTGCATAAAAAAAAATCACCAGAATGCATGAAATGAAGTGTTTGATGCTCAGAATTTCCTGCTGGATGACCCCCATGACTGCCCACTTAGTGACAGTAGTAGGAGTGGGGGAAAAATTGATACAGCATAGTATCACAATATTTTGCGTGGCAATATTGTTCCATTACACGGATGCCAAGTATCAATCATTTAGTACATACATCATTCATTTTTGCAAATACACATTTTAATACATCTTTTGGTACTAGAGTAATGAAATCAATTGCTTTTTCAGTCCACTAGGTGATGCTGATGTTTTTCTTCCTGGTGAGGTCAGCAGAGGGCTCAGTCAGCTGCATTTGGCAGGAAGTTCATCAAAACAAAGATGGATGCACGGGAGAAAGAAATCAGAAATGTGCCGTTAGTGTTTGAATTAAACATCTGGACTTATTTTGGATTTTTTAACACGGAAGGAAAGAAGGACTTGGATATGACACATGCAATTTGCAAGCAGTGTCGTATGAGAATACTCCGCGAATACTACTAACATGAGGGCTCACCTTACCCTCAACCACCCAGAGATAGTGTTAATGCCCATTTATGCTCAACGTTAAATACGGATCCGGATATGGACGGAGCCTTCTGTCCGTGCTCCGCATTCATTTCGTCCGTATTTCTGCACGTTTCCATAAAGCTTACGGATACGGGCCAAACGGAGCAGTACCATCGGAAACCGTGGGGGCAGTGTTATTGTTACTACCCGATATGTAGCTCTAGTAAGACACGAAGAAGAAATAACAATTCAATTTCTCTCATCGGCAGTACTAGAGAAAAGAATTCTCTGTCCTCCAGTCTTGATGTATTTAGCGGCCTCACCGACCACCGCCTCCTACAACGCTGCCTCTGTTTTTGTCTTTTATGCAAGAGGTAAATTATCAATATCTCCTCCACAGTCGCCATGTTTGTTTTTGAGTTTGCTGTTGTCATAAACTTTTGTCTCTGGGCTGCCCCCTGGTGGATATATTATTATATGGTTAACATCCATGCCAACGTAAAGGATGCATGGAAGTATGTGGGCAGTGATGGTAACATCGTTTGAAACGGACGTATACATTTTTGTACGTAAAGGGAGCATAAACAGGCCTTTAGCCGCTGACGGCCAAGCTAACGCTATATCAACGCCGCTGAAAAATCTGCCAACACTGGACACTCTTGAGCTTGTGACAAAAGCTTGACAAAACTAACATCCAACTCTGAGAGAGCTATTAAATAACACAGTCCATTACCTATTTCATGTGCAACTAAATCGAAATATATTGTATTGCAATACTCAGCATATCGCAATAATGCCATAATATCGTATCATGACCCAAGTATCGTGATAATATAGTGTCATGAGTCCTCGATGATTTCCACCCCTAGACAATACGTAAGATTGATTGAGCATGTCTAAGAGGATCTACTATCAAATTTCAAAATATTTCTCACTTCAACGTCACATAATGACAGAAACTGTTTGAGAGCCCTCTAAAAATATCTCTATTCTGAAGACTAAACGCCTGCATGAGCTCTGAGGGGCTGAAAGCAGAACACTTTCGTCCAAACATAGGATTATTGTGTGTGTTTTTGGCGCTGACACCAAGCTGTGGCTCTGATGGTTCACAGTCACCAACAAGAGCCCTCTGTTTTACTACACTTCTTTTAATAGCCCCACTTTCCACTCTTATCTCACTGACAGCTTGTATGTGTGTATGTGAGCATGTACACATCCGGAGCCCGAGACAAAGATGACGCTTGTTGGGGATCGTCTGGCCTGTCAGCCAGAGATGAAAAAACACAGAGCAGAAGGAGATGCTTTGACGAGAGGTCACGTAAGATTCATTGAATCAGAGCAGCTCCAGCCCTGTGGCACTTAGCACATTAACTCCGCATCTCCACTAGTTAACAGAAGTGACAGCTGATAATTTAATTATGCTCTCGGAAAGAGAAATGCTAAATGGCAGGGATGGGATATCTACATGTGACTTTAAATGCATTCCACAGAATATGTGCATCACTTCCCACACTGCGTTCCCCCAGCAAAACGTAAGGGAAAAGACGGCCATGGCAGTAATTCATGCATTGTGCTGCATTTGAAAGTGTGCTCCTCCATTTATCCTCGCCGAAAATGCCCCTGCTTTCTCTCCTGCTGTGTAACAGTAGTTGCAGTGTGTGTGTGCAAGAGAGGCTTGGCAGAAGCACAGAGCCCGGCTGGAGTAGCCACATCTTAATGGAGTCTGGGAAACACAAGGCTTTGGTATGCTAACACCAGTGTCACTTGGCTGTCAGACACACACACAGAGGGGGTTGCTCTTAAGATCTCAAGAGTCGTGTATAGAACACGCGCCGGCACACACATACACATCCGTTATTAATTCATCCACACGCAACCCCTTGAGTGTTGTGCCACTCAAAGGCTTTGATGTCATCCGTGGCGCCTTTGCCTTTGTATACTGCTTGTGTGTCTGTGTCAGTGCACTTCTCCCCACAGAGTGTCTTAAACTGGAATCTGCATCAGGAAATAGCTGAATAACTAGATTTGTGGCTTTCAGTGGCACAGAATCATGTCGCACTCTTCATCCACACTTCCTCTGTGTTCCTATCTTTATGCATGTGTGTGTGTGTGTGTGTTTGTGTGTGTGTGTGTGTGTGT